GAGGACCTTTCGGATGAGGAGGCTCCCCCAGGAGACACTGGTGCCCTTGGTTCTCACTCGCCCCTTCGCTCCCCGCCTGCCTCGGCTCCGTCAATGCCGTCTTTCTTCGCTGCCGCCAGAAACCCGCTTCCTTCAGGAGCCTGGTGACTCAAAAATAAAACTTGAGAGTATTTTGAGCCACGACGCTGCCTTTCCGTCTCTCCACCTTGGTGGTGTTTGGGGGCTTTTTTTTTTTCCTTTCCTTCCCTGCTTGGAAAGCTGCATTAGCAGTCGGGGCTGGCAGGGCAGCTGGAGCGCACAGAGCTTGGCTTGTCTCCGCTCCAGCGCCTTCCCGGCTCTCCTGCTGCAGAGACGGAGAGGAGCAGCCCACGCCGCAGCAAAGAGGGAAGAGAAGGTCGTCTTGCCAGCTCTGCGAGCCCAGGCGCGGCTGCAGCTCCCTGATCCTCCTTCGGTCCATGCTCCAGCTGGCAGAGTCTTGCAGCTCTCGCACGAGCTGCGCTTTATAGACCCTTGTATCCCTATGAAGGACTGGTCCTGAGGCTGCTGCCTGCCCCTCTTCCACCCCATCCCGGGGCCGACACCATCCCTGAGACCTCATTTTTCCACCCAAGCTTTGGAGAATCCCCATCTCGCTCTTCTCCATGTGCCTCGGGGGACCGTCTCCATCCCAACATCTCCCTCCCCCACCTGCCCCCGCTTGCTGCTCGCAGCCCAACCAGCCCTGCCCTTCGCAGCCAGACTCCTCCAGGGTTTGATCTTCAATTTGAGCCTGGGAAGAAGCAGCGGTGGCAGCTTTGCTGGACCCGAGCTAGCGGGAGCTGCCTGGTTCATAGCTTCCCCCTGCCTTCCTTGGAGATCTCAGTGTCCTCTGGGCTGCTCCTCAGGCTCTCTGCTCAGGGACAGACCTTCAAAGGGCAGCAGTTACTCCACGTTCACTCCTGCATGGACACCCTGGCTCTGCGCCGAGGGCCTCTGACCAAGCGGCTGAGCTTAATCCACTTTCAAAGTGGCCTAAAAATGTGCTTGGTGTGAAGGGGAAAGCGTCCACACCCAGAGTCCTCGTACGCAGTGGGGCACGGAAGAGCTGCTGCAGGAGCTTCGTCATCAGAAGAAGCCCCAAATCTTTGCCGTTGCTTCATTTTCTGTTCGTTTCATGGAAAGTGAGGGTTGAAGGGACCTCAGGAGTCGCATCTAGTCCAACCCCTGCTCCAAGCAGGACCAGCCCCAACTTCTTCATCCCAGACACGGCTTTGTCTACCGGGGGCTTGAACACCTCCAAGGATGGAGACTGCACCACCTCTCTGGGGAGCCTGTTCCAGTGTTTTACTACTCTCCTTGTGAGAGAGTTTCTCCTAATATCCAACCTCAACTTCCCTTGCTGCAGCTTGAGCCCCTTGCTCCTTGTCCTGTCGTCTGCCCCCACTGAGACCAGTCCAGCTCCATCCTCTTTGCAGCCCCCCTGCAGGGAGGTGAAGGCTGCTATTCAGTCCCCCTCGGTCTTCTCTTCTCCAGACTGAATCAGCCCAGGTCCCTCTGCCTCTCCTCACCAGTCCTGGCCCCCAGCCCCCAACTATTCTCATTGCCCTCCGCTGGACTCTCTCCAATGTGTCCACATCCTTTCTGTCGTGGGGGGCCCACAGCTGGACACAGGACTCCAGATGTGGCCTCCCCAGTGCTAATAGAGGGGTCCTTCCCTTACAACCTCCCTTGCGCTCAGCTCGGAGAATTGAGGTGCTTTGGTCCAAGGGGATACACACGTCCCTCCTGCTCTCCTGCAAGAGACGCTCCCCGAGACGAGGGCGTGCAACGTGCCCTTCGTGGTGATGGACACGACAGATGTTGAAGCATGTGAGCAGCCCGGCTGCAGCCCCTCTGCTCTGCTCTGCTTCATCCGATCCACCATGACGCATTAAGGAGGAGGAGAGTCTAGTCTTTCTCCTTTTAGGATTGCGGTGCTATAAAGCTTTGGCCAGGCCTGCGTGTGCTTTAGCTGGGGCCACGAGAGGGTTGCTGCCTGCGCTTGGCAGGGCTGAGAGGGGGAAGGAGCAGCTGCAGAGCAGGGCTGGGGGGCAGGGAGCAGAGATGCCCTCCTGTCTGAGATGGGGAACAGGGCCAGGGGCAGATCAGTCCCTGCCTCTGCCACCGACGTGCCGTGCGGTGCTGGGAGAGTCCTTGCGCCTTCCCTGCGCTGCCAGTTCTGCCTTGGTGCTTGGGAGCTGCTGAAGTTGTAGAGAAGACGGTTCTCCGAGCCTCCGTGGCCCAAGCAATCGCTGATCTCCCCTGCAAGATGGGGGGCGGGGGGTTGAATAACGATAATGGTTTGAAAGCTTCCCTTGCCAGCGGCTCCACCTCGTAAGCTCCGCAGATGGCAGGTCTGCACCAGGCTTCCTGAACTGAGTGAGATTGCAACAGAGGACGAGCTGTACGAACCCGCGGGCTCTGGGTAGAAAGCCTGTCCCTCCTATTGCCACCCAAAGAAGGTGCCTGGGTGTAAAGCAAGCAGAGGTGTGAGGCCTTGGGGGAGCCTCCTCCGCAGAGCTGCCCTGGGATCTTTCCTTGCCTGGTAGGAAGGATGTTGGATTAACAGTGTAGCTGGAAAGCAGCTGCTCTACCAATGCTCCCTGCCCCCTCCAGCACCGCGCTCTTGCGTCAGCTTTCGGTGCTGGGTCTCCGTCCTTCTAGCCCAGAAACCAGGCCACGAAATACCAGTCGCTTCTCCCCAGCCAGCTGTCGTCTTGTGGCCCCCGGCTGCTGCGCGTCGGCTTTGAGCTCCCGTGGGTGTTACCGTTCCTGGCTGGCGACGCTTGGCCTTGTTAGACCGGCTGGCGCGGAGGCTTCGGGGTAACCCGGCTCCCTACTGAGACCTGAGCCTTGGCGGAGGTTGGCACCACGCTGCCCACCCGTCTGATAGTCTGCAGAGCCTGTCTGGTCTGATCTCGGCTTCTGTCTCCGCTCCTGACGAGCCGCTTATCGGGGGAGAAGGATGCTCTTGGGCAGGAGAGCTGGCTTCTCCTGGCTGCTCTGCGAACGTGCCATGCAGCGCTTGGAGCCGGACATTTCTCCAGAGCATCCGTGGGCACCACCTCCCACCTTCTCCCCCACATCGTTCAGGTTCATCTCTCCAGCTGCTGCTCTGCAGGCTGGCGTGGCTGGGAAAGCTGCCCTGGGCTCCTCTCTCCCGCTTGTCACCCAGCCAGGCTCGTGTGTCGTTAGGGCGTTGACTCGCTCGTCCGGTCTGAATCTCTTGGAAGGGCTGCTTGGGCTCTGATGAAAGGCAGAGGGTGCCTGCCAGGCTTGCGGGGTTTGCAGGCTGCTCCGTGAAGCACGGCTGTCCCAGGGCTCGGGGCCTCCTCTCCCATGAACTTATGGGACGGAGCCCTCCACGAAACGCCTGGCCGAGCGGCTCGGGCTGCTGTAGCGTGTGCATTGCCTGTTCCGCTGGCCATCACCTTCCCGCCCCCTGCTCCGGCCTGGCTGGAGACCTCCTCCGCGGATGGCTTGGGCGTGCAAGGCACCGTCCCAGCCGGGACGTGATGCCGTGGGCTTTCGGGACTCCCCGCTGAAGGACCGAGCTGCAGTTTCCTGGGAGGTGCCAGGCTAAGGTGCTTTTGTGGGGGCAGCAGCACGGGTTTGGAGGAGGTGCCGGGTACCCCTTCCACCTGCTGGGACCTGCTGCCACTTCCAAAGAGCCGGGCAGGGCTCTAAGGACAGGAGCAGGAGCAGGAGCGTCTCTCATCTTTGCACGAAGCTGAAAGGGAAACGCTCTCCCTGCCCCTGCTAGAGAGGCGGCTGCGAGCTTCAGCAAGCTCCGGCTCCAGGTGGGTGCGACTTCTCCCGGGTCGCTTTGCAGGGTCGCGCAGACGTCCCTTGAATCCCTGGATGGACAAGTGATAATAAATCGGAGCTTATGATAGGGTGTTCATTTGCACGAGGCTTTTCAAAGCCTGGGTTTGAAGTGGCTGTTTTTGATTTTGAAAGTGGATCTTTGTCCACGCTGGGGAAGCCCGCGTCTCTGGGTGAGACGGGCAGGATGCTGTGGAGGACCCAGACACGAGAGGTTGGAGGGCTACGAGCCAAGTCTCTCCTGCAAGGGCAGCTGAGATTGAAATAGCCCTGAAACCAGGTTGCAAGAGGCCTGGGAAGAGGTGCGTGCTGCAGCCCAGCTGCCTATTGCAGCGATGCAAGCGTTCCCCCCTAAGACAGGCTGGGGGCCTCTCGCCTGCCCTGGCCCTGGATGCACGGCTTCCCACCGCCGCTTCCGACCCCGAGTTGCACAACCTTCCCGAGGCGTAGGTGCCACGTGAACGTGCTGTGCTGCCAGCCTGCCCGGCCCTACCCCGGTTCCTGTTTGTTCTGCCATCCCCGAGCTTATAAATAGACGGGAGCGAGCGGGTGTTTGCGGGGGGAGGACTTTATTCCCAGCCTGCGCGGCCGAGGTCTCGGAGACGACTGGCCTCCTGCTCGGTGTTGAGGCTGGTGGGGGAGTGGCGCTGGAGACGCAGGGTGGGGAACCTGGGCCATAAACCTCCATGCCCCAGCCCCTGGCACTAGCTCTCTCTGCTAGATGTTGCCCCCTTCTGCATCTCCCTGAGGCTATCTCCGGGGCTTTCCCAGCCCTGCAAGCAGCAGAGGCCGAGGGGACAAGCCCGGGAGGATGCTGAGCCACGGGGATATGAAAGGCTGGGTGTTGTTTCACGCTGGGGCGTTGTACTCCTCCTGCCGGCCGGCGTCAAGGAGCCAGGTGGTTCTGGACGGGCTATGCCAACGTGGGCGCCTGTAAGGCCGTGCTCCTGCAAACGCGGGAGCGCTAGCAGCAGATGCAGCATCGCATGCGTGCAGCCTTCCCCCATGGGCTACCAAGGTGGGCCTGGACCTTTTGCCCTTGACTTAAATATGCCCCCTTCCTGCGTGAGGATTAGTCGAGTCGGGTCTGCCCGGTGTCTGTGCCGAACAAACTTGCATCTCTTGGGACCTGGTTTCTGCAGGCGGTTATTCGAGGAATGCAGAGAACACCTCGCCCGGTACGCAAGGCGCAGCGTGAGGGTGTTTGGTGCTCTTCCCCTCAGGCTTCCCGCTGTCTGCTCGGCGCTGTCCAGGCAGATAAGGGGACGTGGGTTTGGAAGGAGGCGGGCTGCTCCTTTCTGTGGTATTTCTGAAGCTGCTCGTGGGTTCCTGGCCATGCAGGAACAAGTGACATTTTGTATTACGGTTCCACTCACAAACAGCTCACAGAGGAGGAGGAAACTTTCCCGAGGTGCTTCATAAGTGTGTTGCACTAGGGAGAAGGAAGGATCTGTGATGGGAGGATCACCTGCAGACCCCAAAGCACTTTTACAAAGGAAGTCGGGATTGCAATCCTCATTTTTACATACGAGGTAATGGTGCAACAGAGATGAAGTGACGTGCCCAAGGTCACCTAGTAGGTCAGTGGCAGAGCCAAGCGTACAACTTGGCAGTCCTGGGTCCCAGTCAGTGCTGTGTTCCAGGCCACAAGATGAGGTGTATGTATTCTCCGGTGATTTGGGGGCATCTTCTCTGCACCGGCTGCCGGTGTTTTCAGATGTGGGCACTGGGGTTGGCCAGTTTGGGGTTTTTTTCCCCCAGGGTTGGTCTCTTCAGTGTCACACGCAGAGATGAAATCGCCACCTGGCTTCCCTGGTTTCACATGCACGGGATTAATTGGAGCTCACGCTCACCCATGCGCCCACTGCCTCCTTCCCAGGGTCCCAGCAGCGCTCGCTGCAGCCCCCGATCGGGCGCAGCCTGCAATGTGCAGGCCCAGAGGCGCGGTGAGCCGTGCGCTTAAGGTGCGTTTTATTTGGCTGGACCCGGCTTTTCCAGCAGTCCCTAGTGCTCCACGGAGCTGCCCCGTGCTCCAGCCCTCTCGGGCGCCTCAAGGGGAAAGAAACCCAGGGATGTGGTGGACGACGACATCGGGTGCCGTACAGAAGTGCGGGTCTGGTCCAGCATGCCCTAGTGCTCCCCGGAGCTGTCCCGTGCTCCAGCCCTCTCGGGCGCCTCAAGGGGAAAGAAACCCAGGCGGTGATGGCTCCGTCGCGATAGCGGCCAGCCGCCGGTATCTGTGCAGCGCATGCGTTACCGGTCCCAGATGCGGAGCGCTCGTGTTTCCGTTGGGATGTGGTGGACGACGACATCGGGTGCCGTACAGAAGTGCGGGTCTGGGGCATCCACCGCTGTCCCCCCTTCTTCTTCCCCTGTGCCTGTATATCAGAGGAAAGGAGGGTGGGAAGGGACCGCGGGAGGTCACATCTAGCCCAAAGCAGGACCAGCCCCGACTCCATCATCCCAGCCAAGGCTTTGTCTACCTGGGTCTTAAACACCTCCAAGGATGGAGACTGCGCCACCTCTCTGGGGAGCCTCCAGTGTTTTACTACCCTCCTATTGAGATGGCTTTTCCTAATATCGAACCTCAATTCCCCTTGCTCCAACTTGAGCCCGTTGCCCAGCTCTGCAAGCAGGATTGCTGCCCAAAGCCCTGCCCTCTGCTGCTGGCTGCTTGTGGGATGCTGTTCTTCCCTCTCCGTCTCGGTGCCCCACAGGTGGGTGGCACGTGCCCGTCTTTGTCACAGCGATGTTACCTCTTTTTCAGCATCTCCTTCTCTCTCCTCTGGACTAGAAGATGGGCACAGTGTCACGGCGCCCTCGGCCCTGCCCAGCACTGTGCCGAGCTCGGTTCATCCCAACGAGACGGGGGGCTTCAGCGCGAAGGCGACGGCCCCTCCTGTGACGGGCAGAGACCGGGACGCGGCCACCGCACAACTCGGCACGACCGGCCTCCGCACGCTTGGACCGGAGGAGCCGTCTCTGCCCCCCAGCCTGCGGGCAGCCACCGAGGCAGAGGGGCTGCAGACTCCTGTCGCGACCAGCGCCCCAGATGCCACAACAGGGCTTGGCAATGAGAGCCAGGCAGCCAACAGCAGCTCGGACGTCCCCTCTCCTCCTCCGACCGCCAACACGACGGAGCTCAGCCAGCCGGGCCATGAAGGGGCAGAGCCCACCGGCACCCCCGGCCAGCTCAGCGCCAGGACGGAGGCTCCAACGCCCTCGACCCCCCAGGACTCGCCAGGTGAGACCACCATTCACCGGTGCACGGGGCGCGAGCAGGTCTGCCCTCGGAGGCACAGCCGGGGGACGCAGGGCCTAGTCCTGCGTGCTGCTGGGTTCCCATGGGCTGTGTTTGGAGCCAGGGTCCCCCCCCAGCACCGCTGATCCCTGGACAGCCTCGGGGAGCAGGGAGGCCACCCCATCCCTCCACGCATTGCAGCTGGGAGTGCAGTGCGTCGGGATCTCCCTGCCTGCAGCTGCCAGCTTAGCCGTTCTGACCGGTCAGGATTGGGCCAACGCCAGGGCAGGCCCGGGAGCTGATGCCCTGCCCCGAATCCCCTCCACAGGGAGCAGGGATCGACCCTGCCTGAGCTGGGGTTTCGGCGCGTTGCAGCCGACCAGACTGGATGCGTCTGGGCTGGTTTGGGCAGGGCTGATCCTGCCTCGGGCAGGGGTTGGGCTTGGTGCGAGCTCTGCAGGGCCCTTCCAGCCCCGCTGCTCTGAATCTGTGGGTGCCCTGTCCTCCGCACCTCGTTGCATGGGACTTTCTGGCTATTTTTGCCACCGAGAGCAGCAGTTGTGCTCCCTGGAGGGCACCATCACGTGAGCAGTTAGTTGTTCCCTTTCCCAGGCTACATCTCAGCTCTTAGCGGTTTGCAGGCAGCCTCACAGCAAGCACTTCCTCTCTGGTGCGCTTGTGGGGACCCCGCTGCCAGGGTGGGGGGGGCTGACAGCCTGTCTTGAACCCCTGGAGCATTTTTGCACAGAGGCCTTGGGGGCAGATTCCCAGATTGGCGCCCTCCCCGCGTCCAGCCGGGCGGCATCGGACCCACAAGGAGGGAGGGTGGGCATTTCCCTCCCCACGTGGAGCTCAAGGGGACCTCCCTGCACACCCATCAAAGAGGCTGCAGCCCTGAGTGCCCCCCAGGCTTCCACAGCCCGGCCAATGGCATCGCAGTGTGGACGGGCATCCGTTAGCACGCCACCACTAATGGTGTCACGGGGCAGGGGTTTACTGCCACAGCCTGGCCAATGGCATTGCGGTCGTCTCCGGGGTGGTGGGAACCGCAGAGCAGCTCCTCCTCCCGCCCTGCTCGCGGCTCCTGCTGTGGGTTCAGGCAGGCTCCGGCTCTTGCTTTGAGGGGAATTGGCCACTTTTTGTCCTGCAGCCACGCAAGGCCGTGCCCAGCCGCCCTCGGGGTTCAGCACCTTGGGACCCACGACGGGCAGACTCGACCCCGTGCCCGGGACAGCCCACGAGGGTGCCACTAAAGAGAGCAACACAGAGCCTGCCACCATCCCTGCCACAGAGGCTGGGCTGGCCACCACTGCCTCCAGCACCACCACGGGCACCTCCGTAGCTGCCTCCACCACCACCACCGTCATCGCTATCGGTACCACCATCGGGACACCCCCAGCGGCTGTGACACGGCAAGCAGTGGACCCCGTGCACGAGAAAGCGCCAGTGCTAGACGTGGGGGATGAGGAGGATCAAGGTAAATGCTCTGAGCCCCACGTGCTCGTCTCTGCCGCAGAAGGTAGCGGGGCAGGAGGGGAGGTCAAGGGGTGGCCGCACTGCTCAGGGGAGCCCCTGAATGCAGCCGGGGTGGACCGTCCCGTGGCCTCACTCTCTCGCTGCTTTCTCCCAGCAGAGCTGCCCAGCTCGCCCGTCGCGGGGGCGGCGGGGGCCGACCCCCTGGTCATCGCTGTCATCTCCGTCTTCATCATCATGGTGGGTGTCCTGGGCCTGGTGGGCTTCCTGAAGTACCGACAGCACAGCAGCCGCATGGAGTTTCGGCGCCTGCAGGACCTGCCCATGGTGAGCAACGGGCCCTGAGCCTGGTGGGTGGCTGGGTCCCGGCTGATCCCCGCCCAGCCTGGTGAGCAGCAGAGCGGGGTGGAGGGAGGGATCTGGGGAGCCGCCCTCGAGGCATCTGGGTAGGGTGAGTTAGAGACACCCTCCCCGCTGCAGAGGACGGTGAATAAATCACGTGCGCGAAGTAGAGCAAGTGCCGCCCAGACTCCCCAGCGAGCAGCTCCATCCTCCCTCCCTCGGTCCCTGCTCTGAGTTTACAACACATTCGACTTTCTTCCTCGCTCCGGCTCCAGAGCGTCTGTGCCGTGTTCCTGGGCGGCTCGGGATAGACGGCTGCCGTGCCCCACCCCAGAAACGGCTGCCATTTCATGGTGGATGAAGCAATGGTCAACCCATGGGGAAAAAAGATGCCTGGGGTGGTCGCCCTGTGCAAGGAGGGATGGAGAAGAGGGATCTCGAGCCCAGATACCTCCGGGGGAGGCTG